AGAACCAGAGGCATGGATACATGGAAGAGTCCAACAGAGGTCAGAGGGGATGGGAGTGAGGGTGGGAACTGCATAAAAGATAGGGAAGATAGTAGCCACAGCATACATATGCATAGCCCATGGACACAGGCAACAGAGGGGTGAAGGCCAGGGTACGGGTGGTGTGTCCTGGGTAGAGGTGGCCAAAGAAAATGAAAATGGAGGACATCTGTAATAGTGTCAACAATTTAAAAAAATCACAACACAACTGATAATTAAAAGCCAAACTAAAGAATAAAATAAAATATTTATAATGCTTGTATCTGGAAAAGGACCCTTATTCCGATTATATAAACACTGTTGTGGCTCTAACATGTAAGAGAATGCAATAAAAAATGAGAAAAAACTTTAAACTGACAATTCATCAAAGAAGATATTAAGTGGTGACAAGCACATGAAAAGATGGTCAGCATAATTAATCACCATGGAAACACAATCTAAAACTGCAATGAGATAACTCCTTAGGATGGCTTACATTGAAAAGACTGACAATATCAAATGTCAGGGAGAATGTAGATCCACTAAAACTCTCATATGCTGTTGCTGGTAACCACTTTAAAAGGTGTTTGGCAATTTATTAAAAAGTTAAATATGCACCTGCCATACAACTCAGATATGTCACTCCCAGGTATCTACCCATGAAAAAGAAAAATATATGTCACACAAAGATTGTGAGTAGATATTAATAGCAGCTTTTCCCCATAATAGTCCAAACTGGAAATTCCCTAAATGCCCATCAATAGGTAAACAAATAAGTAAAATATGCTATACATTGAAACACTACTCAACAATAAAAGTGGGCAACTGCTTATACATGCAACGACGTGGTTGAATTTAAAAAATTATCCTGCCGAGTGAAAGAAGGCATCAGTAAAATAATACATGAGTGTATTCTTTCATTTTATGAAATACAAACGAATTTATAGTAACAAAAAGCATAGCAGTGTTTGCCTGGGGATTGGCAGAGGGAGGCATATATAGCAAAAGCGCACTAGGCATTCTTTGGCATGATGAAAGTTTTTTCTATCTTAACTGTGGGAATGGTTTCAAGATTTTGATGGTTTTAAGTAGGCAAATTCATCAAATGTATACCTTAAATGGGTGCATTTGATTGTGCATAAGTTATTTTTCAATGAGATTAACATAAAATGATAAAAACTTAAATTTTAAGCCAGGATGGAAGATCTCACATGATACCATCTACTATGAGACCTTTCAGTGGGGGTTCATAGACCCCATTTATGTGGGGTATGTGCTGACATTAGACATAACATTCCTGAAACCAGTTAAACCCCTTACTCTAATTCGCTTTCAGACCAGTGAGACTCTGGGCTTTACCTGAAGTATTCTGAAGTCAGATAGCAGGAGAATAATATTTCCCTTCCCACAGTTTTGTCCACTTTTGTCCTTGTGTATCTAGTGATTAGTAGTAAATTCCCAAGCTGCAGTTGAAGCATGAGGCATTGTTTTGAGGACAGAAAGGAACTGAACTGGACCTTGGATAGAGACATCCAAGTGCTTGGAGGGTGTGTGTGTATCACTGAGGTGAGTGAGGAAGAACATTCAATCCCTGGAGGCCCAAGGGAATGAAACCCCTTCAGGGCCAGGCTCAGACATAGATGTGGCTCTCACCAGCAGGGGCCATGCAGCATGATATAAACAAGTGCATCCGGAATTGCACCCACCTTCTCTCCAAACCTCTTATTTTTGTTCTCTTAACACACTGGTCCTATTCCCTTCTTACTAGTGTCTCAGGCCCCAGAGTGATGTTTCACTCTTCTCTCTCCTCTGTCCTTATAATCAGATATGACATCATCATAACTTTCAAGCTAATTGACTCACACTCATTGATCTTCTAAATGCAGGCACTTTGCTTGACAATGGGGATAGGGAAATAATTAAGAAAATGTCTGAGAGGATCCTATGAACCCACAATCCTAAAGCATAGAGAGGGGCTAGGACAGTAGGAAAGATTATATGAAACAGTATTAGTTGAGGCTCCTCTCACCTTTGGTGACCTCACTTCTAATTCTAGAGAATGGAGAAGTCATGTGGTCAGACCTTTCTCACATATTTTTACCTTTAAATTAAGACTGTAACTCCATTCTTGTGTTCTTTTTCTGGTCCCTAAAGAAGTGTCCTGAATGTCTTTGCAATGCTGACTGTCCTCTAAATCCTGCTCCTGCTCACCTCCCCTTGGGTCTTGTGTTCCATATATCAAGTCAAATATCTTGAGTACCTTGCTTTCATGGTTGTTTTGTTTTGGACAAGAAAACATGCTCAAGCCTTCCCATCCCATTTAAATACAGATTGCATCTTGACTCCTCCATAAGTTTTTATCTTCTTTATATATCCTTAATTGCCAGATTTCTCAAAAAAAGGCCCTTCTGAATCAAAAAATATTTGTTAATAAAATGAACCAATGAATGCATCCCATCCACTTATTCTCTTTTCTCAGTTCTGTTCTCATATTTTAAAGAAAATATGATACTCATACTCTAGTTTCCCAGTTCAGAAGACCATTCCAACCTTTTCATCCTGATAAATCTAGGGACCTTCTCTATGTGTCTCTCTTGTACCTGTCATGATGATATGCCTTTAAACAAAAGAGATCAAATTAGTACTATGTATCTGAGGGTTAGCAAAGATAGGTTTAAAATACCAGTCTTTATTCCACACATATTTTTGAGGGATGTCAGCAAAGTGGGGAATGCTCTAGGTGCTGTAGGATAATTGAATAAGATAGGTTAGATCCCTGCCCTTCGAGAGTGGGAGTAAGCAGACCATAAACTTGTAAATACTCAAATAAGCAAAATAACTTCAGATTGCATTAAGCGCTAAGAAAGAAATAAGCAGGTAGTAGGACAGAGAGTAACTTGAGGCTACTTTCCATCAGGTGGTTAGAGAATATGTGTTTGAAGAGTTGTGATTCTGGTGCTAATCATGAGCTGCATAGACTCTTCTTGCCATGTCCAACCTTTTCCAGTGTCTATCAAATTGAATTATCCAGCAAGCCCACTTTCGGGGTAAATATCTGAAGGAAATGAAAATGCTAACTTAGAAAGATCATTACCCCCATGTTCATTACAGTATTATTTACAATAGCCAATACAAGGAAACAACCTGAGTGTCCTTTGATGGATAAACAGATACAGAACGGAATATTATTTAACCATAAAAAGAAGGAAATCTTGCTGTTTAAAACAACATAAATGGACCTCGAAGGTATTATGCTAAGTGAGGTAAGTCAGGGATAGAAGAACAGGTATGATCTCACTGGTATGTGAAAACTAAAACCAAACAAACAGAAACAAAAACAAGGGAACTCACGGAGAACAGATTGGTAGTTTCTAGGGGTGGGGATTGTGAGGATCAAATAGGTAAAGGAGGTAGAAAGATAGTAACTTACAGTTCTAAAAAGAATGAGTCCTGAAGATGTATTGTACAGAATGGTGACTCTAGTTGTTACTACCATATTATATATTTCAAAGTTGCTAAGAGAGTAAAACCTTAAAAGTTCTCATTACAAGAAAAGTAACTATGTGTGGTGGTGGATATTAAGTATGCTTTGCAGTGATCATTTTGTTACATACATGTGTCAAATCATTGTGTTGTACAACAGAAACTAACAATGTTATATGTCAATTATATCCCAATAAAAAAGTTAAAAAATTTCTTTTCACTTGCCTGTGTCTCTGTCCTCTATCCTAGATCTTATCGCGGCAGAATAGTAAGAAGCTAAGAATATTCCTGTGCAAGTGGATAGGGAAACTGAGACAAGAAAATTAAACAAAGACAAACAATTTGAATAACTTACAGCTAGCCTGTGAATCCAAGAGCTTATCTTCCCCAAACATGGTCACTTGAAAGCAAATGGTTTATACCTCCCCTCCCTAACCAGGGAATACAGAGCTTAAATCATCCTCGTCTAGGAAATAGAGAACAGAGACCCAATTAATGCCATTTGTGCCAGCTAAACCCAAGGACAATTGGAGTTAGGGGAACAACAACAACAAAAAACCCCATTAAAGCCAGACAGACCCAAGATAAAAGTAAAACAGTAAAGCAGACCAAAGAATTATTCCAAACTCCCCTATACCTTCATTTTGGTGCATCAGCACATTAAAAATGCACCTGAAAAGCTGATGAATATTCTGCTGAAACCCTCCCCTAAGATTCTTGCCCTTGGACAAAAACAAAAAAAGAGAAAGTGTCCTCAGGACAAAGACTCACTGTGGATTCTCTCTAGAGCAGGGGTGGGCAACCCCTGGCACGCCAGTAACTTTTTCTAGCACACGAAACCCTCTCTTATAATCTTCCTTTTACAATTTTTTTCTTAATATCGACTTTTTTTATTTTTCAGATAAATTCAGTGTAGGTGCATCTTAGATAAATAAATAATTTTACATAACATGTATAAATTAAAAAATAAATGTATTTTTCATCATCATATACTGTGTTTTTGTCGCTCGAATGAATTTTATTATTTCTTCAAGGTTCTTCACATACGTACACCTTAAGAGATATCAAGTAGGCGTAACATGTTCTCAAAAAATTAGGGTTGGCACGCAGAAGAATTTTGAGTCAGAGATTTTGCTGGTTTTGGCACACACTCACAAAAAGGTTGCCCACCCCTGCACTAGAGCATGCCCATGCCCCTTCCCCCTAAACTCTAAGGGTCCCCACGAGACTTGCAAGCAGGAGAGCATAGGGCAGTGGCAACTTGTCCTGGGCTTAACCCCTGATCCTATCTTCAAGGTCCCTTTTTCTCTGACTTGCCAGTGAGTTAAGAGCAGCCCACCTTGGCTCACTTCTTTCCTATGTTTTTAGGGAGCGCAAGGAGAGCACTGTCTATGCTCTCTCCTGTTGCTTCTTCTACCCTAAGTTCTTCCTGTGTTTCACAGTCCCCAGCTTTAATAAGCATACTCTGAAAATCACCTGGACTTGTGTTGTGAAATCTTTTCTATATGAAGTCAAGAACTGACACACTACAGGCTGGCCTGAGGCAGACCTGCTCCAGGCCATCCATGCCCGTCCCTGTCCAGTAACATTATTATTCCCTTTGTATTTGGAGATGCTCTTTGGACATGTTGGATTAATGGTGTAGAAAGGCTTATTGAATTAGAAACTCATCCAAACTTCCTGGCTCTAGCCAGGAAGCTGATAGGTACCTTTTATATCTTGGAATCCCATTCTTCTTATTTCTTCCCCTAAACTGTGATTCCTGTAGGATACTTATTAAATACTAGAGGCCCAAGGCCAGAAATGTGTGCAAGGGTAGGCCTTCACAGCCCAGCTGCCTCATGGCCCTGCGGCCTTGCCCCCTGCCTGCACCTGCCTTGGCCTGGTGCTGCCTGCTTCCACCACCACACACCTCATGGGCTTCCCTCTTTGGGGAAATCGCGGAGCCCCCCTATTGATCACCCTGCCGGCCAGTGGCCTCGGCCTCCCTCTGTGGGGCAATCATGGGGTGATGGCCCAGCCCCTGACCAATCGCATTGCACCGCCTTGGCTGACCTGGCGCCAGTGAGTGTCATAGCGTGGTCCCGGATGGTCTCCGGATGGTCATTCCACTGTTCAGCCGTTCGATTGATTTGCATATTACGCTTTTATTATTTAGGAGGATTGGGCATTAGTTTGTCTTGTTTATTTGACTTATTTGTGTGAAAAGCTGTTGAATCTGTTATTTTTCTCCTTATTGTGGTTCATCTTGGACATTGCATCCGGAAACTCATATTTAAATCATTTGTTTACAAAATTTTGAAAACTCTTCATTGGTTTAGGATATGATCACAGTACCTGGCCATGGCCTTCAAGGCCTCTCATAATCTGGCCACAACCCAGTTCCTTCCACAACCACTCTTTTTCCTCTTCCTACTTTATAGTTCAGTTTCTTTTCTTAGAATCTACACTCTGCCATCCTTCCTCAACCTCACAGTTGTCTTAATCCTGTATATTGAAGGAGTACCGAATACATGTGGCACTTTGGCAAGTGGATTGTTTTGAGCTGAAGGAAATTAAGACCCAGCCGACTCAGGAAAAGCTTTTAACTTCTCTCTTAAATGC